AATTATTAACGAGCGTCTGCAACCCACAACCCTTTAAAATTTAACCTCAGGGATTCTAATTTAAGTTCAGGGACTGAACGTGTCTTAATACTTCATTCAGAGTTACTCTAAATCCATCTCCAATAAACACACACTGTTTATCTATATGATATTTTAATCAGTGCTCCAGATCATTTCAGCAAAAATGATTACCTAAAGTGATTAGTCAGTAAACAAAAAACATTTCATGGCCAAATAAATACAAGTAAAAATGCAAATATGAAAAAAGGATATAATTATTAAACATACAAGATTAATAAAGCTGAAAGTGTGACGAAATAAGCTAAATGGTTTGTAATGACAAACATAAATTAGGGTGCTTTTAAAAGAGGTTCTAACAGATGAAGCATAAAGAAATGGAAGCAGTTTTTCCAAACTCAGTCCACACTTGCAGTGATTGCCAGTCAGTACATTGAGTCTGATATGGCCTGGAGCACCAGCCTAGCACAGAGGTGATGTAAAAAGGCAGCTTTGCCACGAGACCTTTGAAGATGAACAGAAACATATCCCTCTGACGACTTTCAGGCACATAAACGAGAAAGATCGGCTTGCAGAACTGGGGGAACCTATATAGATGACAGCCAGAAGGAGCGTGTTTGGAGGCGTGGTCCCGCTCCTGAAATTCCGAAACATAATCTCCACTTGTTAACTGCAGGAATTCAGAGATGCACATAATCAACTTTAAAAACTTTTCAATGATAGAACACGAGACAAGTCTGATGATGATCAAACTTTGATCAAATGATCAAAATTTAAACTACAAATTAGTTCAACTTTGCTCAGATTAGTTTGTACTGTGTGTCTCAAAGATAAACCTACTGAAACTTTCGTCTTGCACATCTGCCTTGTCATCCAGTCTTCATGGCCAGGCTGATATTTGGGAGGCACCAAAAATCAAAGCAGCCCTGTCCCACACTTTAAGCTTTACTGCCATCCACATACATGAGAACAAATGCACTCACCTGCCAGCTGTTACGAGGAGGAAACAATGTGTGTAAACCTGCTTTTAATCCTGTTTAACATAATAATCTATGGGGACTGATTCACTTTTCAAGTGGTCTTTAGAGGAACTCCAGCCTTTGGCACTTCTGCTCTGCCTTTATTTTTGAACCCCGGAGGTTGCCAGTTGGCTTAGCTCAGACATATTTCAACAGTGATTTCGTGGGCCTGCTAAAGAGGGCATTCCTGTCCACTCTTTGACTGCATCCTATCATTGTTGGTTCAGCCCTCACTTTTGAAATGAAAGCCATGTTATGAATGATTTGAAACAGCAAACACTGACTCATTGCGCAGCGCTGCAAAGCATATGCAGCCCTGCACAACAACTGATATAGTCACCTGGGAATGAAACACTGAACCTGACTCGGGCGCTTAACCTAAAATTCACATTTGCAGTTTTAAAGAAAGCAGACACATAAGCATTTGCACAACAAAAAATCCTTGTATATGTTTAATAATAGACAAATCAAACATACAAGACACGACGCCTCAGCCAGACGATTGTCTGACACTTAATCAACCATAAGTGAAAACTGAAGGCCTCAAAGAGTAGGATTGCAGGTGCATCACGCTGGATTTCATCAGAATGCGCAAGTGTTTGAACTTTAAGGACTTCTTGCATGTTTTATGATCATACAACTAGACAGCATTATTTTGACTGCAAAGAAAGGTGAATGGAAACTGTCTCTCTTTTCAACAAGGTAGTGCTGAAGGAGAGAAAAGAACCCCAATACTATAAATAAGCTTCAAATTACTTCAAAATTCCATTGTGCTATATTAGCTATTGTCCTTTTAGATTATGTCATTAGTGTCAATAATCAAATTTTGGTGTCTAATAGAAAGTAGAACAATGATCAATGGGCTGGATGTGGTGAAAACTAATGGAGGGAGATATTTCTGTACCATATCTATCATTTCTGTGTTAATAGTGATTGAATAATAGCCTAACGCTGTTTACTGAAAGCTGCCTTATTATATTTGCATGATTTCAAACACTCAGCAATACAAAAGCCCTGTCATTGATGATTCCCTTGATAAACCGCAAAGCATCGATATCGTGTGCAGATTACATCATGAATGATGGAGTTTGGTATCATGAATATTTCATAAGCTTGAGGGGAAGAAGAAAGCATTGCATAATTTATCACATATGGAAAAGGATGTGCTAAAATGCAGTCATATCTGTCTTTGGTGCTGACGTTGGCACAGCTGGCCATTAATGATCTCTTTGGTGAGAAAGACCTAAAGTGCTGCTGTAGACAGAGTGCTGCGGTGGCACAGATTTTGATTTTCTTTTATAGAATAACAAATTGGTCCAAATTGCTTTCCATCAGTACAAATTAAATCTGCATCTTTGGAGCAGGCATTATGCCGGGTGAATACACAGTGGGTGGACTGGGGATAGAAACTGTAAATTGCCTCTAGATGTTCTCTAAAGTAACAGATTTATTGAGATGCTGTATTCTTTAAGTTACTTGGAGTTTATGGAATCAAGAAAAGTTGATTTTCTGAGAAAGGCAGACTCTTCAGACTCTTTGGTGTGGTGTTTAATAACAGAGTCATCAGCCACAGCATTAAAGCCTCGCCCAGTTTTGTGAACATCTCCCCTGTGATGCCAAAATAGCTCTGATCCATGGGAAGATGGACACAGGGCATTCGTTTGCCTCCTAGGGTTTGCAGTGGTCGGGTGCTGGCAGTGTATCGTTTAAGTCTCATGTGCTGTAATGTCACCTGTTTTTCTAGTTTTCTAGTTCAGGATTTTAAAAAGGTGAGTCTGTGGGGAATTTTAACAAATAGCTTTTAACATTTATTAAGTCCAAGATACTAAATATGTTTAACATTCTAGTTTGCAAGTCACACAAGTGAGCTGTTGAACTTTACAGCGTGCATGAACATTGTTTTAAATAAGTTAGAAGAGGATTTTTTTAATGTTCGGTCCTCTCTCAATGATGTTATGAATACGCAAATGTATCTATTTTAAATATATTTGCGAATGTTTCTTACGTCATGGAGAGAGCAGCACAGGTTCAACTATCCACGTTACACTTCAGAAAGTTGGTAACTGGGGCAGGATCGACTTCCAATCCCTTGAATGACTCCTGCTCGCATATACTTGTCTTATTATAGGGGAGCTCCGAAAAACTTACTTCCAGCAAATTAATCTGAAAACAGCTTTCATCTGTCAAACTGTGCAGATGCACCACTCTGCACAGTGAAAGCTAAAAATCAAAAAGAAGCACAGAACCGTGTTTCTGATCCGCAACCAAGTTTTTTAGCTCTTAAAATATGAAGGGATTCTTTAATATTGATACGTTGATAACCCTCTCTTGCCAACTCAGATCTAAAGTTTATTTTCCTGTTTTGTTATTTTCCCTCTCAGCTGCATGATCAAACACTTCTAGAGATCTGAGATCAGGTTGTATGTGATGTACAAATGCAGCAACCACCATTTTTTGAAGTTTGTCTTACAACTAGTTATCTAGTTGTCTTTTATGTGGATTGTGTACACCTGATCTCATTTCCTCCCAGTTGTCTAATCCCCATTAGCCCGCAGTGTGTGAGTATATAAAGCAGTCTAATTAAATAGCTTGATTTTTGTTAAATCCTGCATCCCTCCCGATTCCGAACTTGGCTCTTTTTCCTTTAGCCATGTGACAAAAATATACCTCGGGTTTCAAATGACAACAAATTAAACTCCATCAATTGCCGACATTTCATACTGGCATCACAAAGGTTTCTGAAACAAAGTGGTAATGAAGCTAAAATCTCTGTACATCTGATTCCAACAACCTCTGTAAAGCTTATTCAAAGATTTAGGTGTGCTGGACCAGCAGTTATGTCAAATATAGATGGAAGAACTGAATCACTCAAGAGTCCATCTGGCCATGCTGGATGAGGTGTAGAAAGTGAAGAAAGAGAATGACAATTTATTTAGACTTAGTGTGCTGAAAATCACGGTGGACTGTTTTTCCTCTTCTTTCCTTATACGATGGAGCAGATTTCCTTAAAACGATAATATCCCGGGTTCACATCTCTGACTTTGATCACAGAACTCCCACCAACTTATTCTTCAAACTTTTTGTTTACAAAGGACAACCAGTCAGAACCAACTTTTCTTAAAGAAATAGATGAGCTGCTTTCAGGCACAGAAGAACCGAGAGGCTGCACCAGTGCACATGTGAACAGAATAGTGATTATTTTGAACTGTGAGTGATACAGAGCTACTCTAGCAGAGTCAAAGAGTAAAAACATGTTGATGGACATGACGGATCCATTTTAAGATGAGTCAGATTGTTCTGAAGAAATCTCAGGCAGTATATTTAAATGTGCAGTCAATTAAATGTGGACGTTTTCATAATAGGCTGTATTATGATATTATTAGGCTCATGGACTAAAATTAGTTAGACTCCCTGGACTAACTATTCCTGAAAACCAGCTTTAATTGGCATGCGTACATCCCTTGGGCCACTCGAGGCTAAGAGAAACGAGTCACAATAGCAACAGTAAAGCTGTGTTTAAACCAGATAAAATTGACTTGGTGTGCTTATTACACGCTGAGTTCCCTTGTTATACACACGAGTGGCAAATGCAAATGCACAGGACTTATTTTGGAAACACTCTAATGTATTACAAGTTAGCTGATACTTATTGAGTCTCCCTGTTGTTCTTTTGTGGCTCTTTAGCCATTGAATCCAGCACAGTGTTCATCAGCTATGATAAATAGTTCCATGATAGCCATGAGAGTGCTTTAAGGCTCCACAGAGTTGTAGACAATGACTGACTCAGCTGATTCTGCTGTGGGGTGTTGCTCCCTCTGTAGACGGCGAAAAAATATTGATTGTAGCAGCTTTAATTTGAGGATCTGTTTTTACTAAATATAACAGGGTCTCATGCTGGGTTCAGTTTTTTTGTGCATTTGCTAAATATATATAAAAGTCTGTTGAATAAAATGTCATTCCAAGTAAAGCAGGTAGTGAGATGATTTATTGGGGTTTAAGGCTGGTGTGGTAGCAGGATCTGAGCAAAGAGCAGTCACCGCCATTTGTCTCTGTGGTTGTTTTCTTCTGTCTCAGTGCCCCCTTCACACAAACAAACAGAAATCTACGCTGGTACCCCTTCAGTCAGGCTCTGACAGGTCGAGCGAGCGCTGACGTTGGTGAGATGTGGAATAATATATGTGAGGGGAGAGAGGGAGGGAGGGGAGGAGAGAGAGGAGAGTGGTTAGCCAGAGGCTGACAAATGGAGACAGCGAGAGAGGAAGAACAAAAATGGAGAGAGCATTTATTATGAGAAGCAGTCTCTGTGGTTATCGTAATTATCTCCTCCTAAACTTTGAATAACTTTTCATTGGCCGCTAAATTACAACTATAAATAACAACCTAATGTACTCCCCCCATCCTGCACTCAAACCGTCAAGAGATTTAAGGACAGAGGAAACATTATTACACCCTCTCCCTCCTCCTCTCCTTCTTTGCTCTTCCTCCTCCACCTCCATCTCTGTGCCGGCCTTCGGTCTCCGCCTCTCCTCCAGTCCCTCTCTTCCTCGCCCTCGGTGGGTTTCACTTGGAGGACATGGTGTAGCAGCCGTGTGGGTGCCACTGCATGTCACGAATGCGCCTAATGGACTGCATCTGGGGGCAGCGGGCACCAAACTCATTGAAATGCCTGTAATCACCCTTCTCCAGCAGAAACTGGCTGCCACGGTAGCCGGGGAACTGGTAACCCACCCAACTGAGGAGAGAAAAAGGGAGAAGAGAGGCAAGGATAGGGAATAAATAGAGAGGGATTACAAGGTTGGACAGCAACTGTTCAGCAGAGAAAATGTGAGGCAGCAAAAAAGCATGAGGTGAAACAGAAACAGCAGACAAGTGAGAAACGTGATGAAAGATGCTAGAAGGACACATGCTAATAATTTAGAGAGAGTAAACATCGAACAAATGATGTCATCGATCTGTTTATCGTGCTTCTAGGTGTTAAAGCACAGACTCGTCTGCCTTCCAGCTGCCTGTTTGGAGACTGCGGGTAGCAGTCCAAATAAAGTAATCACAGCAGATAAAACAACAGTGTACGCTGGCTGCCACGCCTCTGGGAGCGCAGACAGAGACATGGAGCTGCTGACGTTCGTGACACCCTCATGTAGCTGCTGATGAAAAAGCCTCTATTCCTGAGCACATTACCAGACAGAGTGCTGTTTCTGTCAGTTTAAGAATGACGCCACCGATGTAGAAATGGTACAAGGAGCTGGACTTTTTTTGACGCAGCTGTTGCAAAAGCAGAGTGTGATGTTTGTGGTCAGTGCTGCTGAAAAATGCATGATTTATCAACCAGAAGGCTGGAAAAGGTAGCAGAGTTACAGCTTCACAGTCAGCCTTAAAGAAAAAGCAGGTCTTCTAGATTTCTGTTTGTTCACAAGGCTGATAGCACTCATATTTGGGGCTTGAAACAGTTCAAGCCTTGGTCTTTCACACTTGCAAAAAACACCCCCAAACTGTTAAGGTTCGCTAATTAAGATGTTATACATTGTTTATTGAATTCTAAAAGAATAGGAACTGTAAAAATTTCATGAAAGCTGAGTTTTATGGGGTGCTTTGCTAGCTTGTTATCTCGTTGACAGCAAGCTTGTTGAAGCTGCTGCACCCAAATCAGGCCCACAACTACAAACTCTTGTTTTATACCAATGTTTCATGGTTTTGTTGGAATCACATAGCATATAGCAAGTTAATTTGTGAGCTTTGCATGTGCTGTTAAGCTGACTATTACTTTCAAAAAAGATCCAGGTTAGCTTAAGCCCTGTTTCCAGTCTTTATGCAAAGTTAAGCTAGCTGAATGTTGGCTTTAGCCTCATATTTAGCACACTACAGAGTGGTATTATTCTACTCATTTAACTCTTTGGAAAAATGCAATAAGATGTTGTAATTTCACAAACTACTCACGTTCCACAGCTGACCATGATGCTGCCCACCCTGTCAGTGAAACCATAGGAAAACAGGCTGGGAACGTCATCATCCATGATTTCCATCTTGCGGCCCTTGAACTCTCCAACCTCATACAGGCATATCTTGTGCTTCTCGGGATCCTGCGAGGTGGCGGGTACGAGGAAGGAGGAAAAGAGAATAAGGATGTAAAGAAGGCAAATAAAAGTAGAGCAAACTTCCACCAGTTGAGTGGCTGGAACATAGGACTCACCATGCGGACAGGCCTGAAGGACAGCAGGTAGTCATTCTTCTGGCAGTTGCTCCAAGAGTCCCAGCGGGGGTACTCGCCCTTCTCCAAGATGAACATTTCTCCACAGAAGTTCATCTGCTCAAAACCCACGAAGCTGAGGACGGGGAAAAGGTCAAGAGGAAGAAGAGGAAGGAGAGTGATCATTGAACGTCCCTCAAGAAGAGTCAGCTCACTGATTACACTCAAATGAATGAGCTGACTCCTCTTGAGGAGTGTGCAGCTTGTAAAAATCTTATAGCATCTTGGCCTCTGCTGCTTTGACTTTTAAATGTGTCCCTTGTTGCACTACTCCTTATCTCCTTGCTTATATTTTCTTTTATTAACTGACATACTTCCATCACTTGTTCTTTGTGTGCTTTATTATGTTAGCAGCCAAAGTTCTCTGCATTGCTGTACTCTCTGCAAAATCACCTGGGATAAAAGCATCAGCATACTGCCAAATGCAAAGTGGGGAAATGTCACATAATGGTGGAGTGTAGCTGTTAAATCACCTGCTCTTCTCTTAGAGGAGTGTGGGTGCTGCTGGGTACCACACTAGTACATGTGGGCGTATACGTGTCACAGCACGCAATCGGAATACTTACGGCCCACAGTCGACACGCAGGGAGCGCACCTTGTCCATGCCCAAGTCACACACGTTCATGCACTCGCCGTTGATCTCAATACAGCGGCCCTGGAAATTCTCCTGGTCGTAAACCCACATCTGAACGATTGCAGTGGGGAGCAAAGAAAATAGGAGTGGAGGTCACTGAGGTAGGTTCAGATTCAAGGGAAGATATATGAAGCAGGAAGTGTGACACGGGGAGATAAAGATGAAGTGCCAATGTTTTTATGACAGCTACCTCCACAGTGATTTAACACACTGGGGGTTTTTTCTGTCAGTTATAGTTGTCAGCCACCCCCTCAAAGAGCTATAAGAACCAGCAGGTCGCGCTAACAGACGTCAGCTCACAAGGTAAACTGTTACAGTGGTGTGAGGCCAGCTGCTTCCCACTGTGTGAAAAATACTGTATGCTGTATTTGTGATGTTTAATCATCTGTTTTACGTGTGTGTGTGTGTGTGTGTGTGTGTGTGTGTGTGTGTGTGTGTGTGTGTGTGTGTGTATACTGTACCTTGTAAGATGTTAAGCCCATCTCAGACGTCTTGGTCTGAGCTGCTTTCCCATCAGTCTGGGAAGCAGACTTGGATTTCTCTCCTCCAGCAGACATGATGACTGGGATAAAAAAAAAGAAGCTGTTATAGCTCTAGTTTGACTTTTACTGTCACACTAAGAGGTTGTAAAAAAATCTTTACTTAAGAATAGGGTCTAATGATTTGTTATTCAGTAAACAAGACCTTTAGCTTTCACATGTTCATCTGATCCTGTTGAAGTTGAATTAGGAATGACCAAAAATAGCAAAAATGAGGGTCGTTCTTTACAGACTCTTTTCTTTATACATTCGTTATTTTTACCTTCCTGTTAGAAAAAATGAATGCCTTCAGCTCAGAAGGTTCAAAGATTCATACATCCTGAGTCATTTCTGTACAGTTTCTAAGCATGCTGCATTTACAAAGCTGGCACATGTGTGTTGAAATAATCGGCATTAAAAGAACCAATCAGAAAATGTCCCAAAAACCTTTACACAACTAAGATCTACTTCAGAACAAAAGCTAAAAAAAAAAACACTCATCAAAAGCAGATTTTAGTAGGTTGAAGCTTTTCTTGGCTCTGAGTCTGAAATGTTGCACTTTCAATGCTGCATTTGTGAAACCAGCTTGATTCCCAGATCCCCATTGGAATTTAAAATGTAAACATTAGTTTCTAAACTCCGGTGCTTTTTCCTGAATATGCCCAAGTGCATTTACTGACAGCTGCTGGCTGCGTACAAAAGAAAAATCACATTTTCGCCAACATTTGACTTCAGTTATAATTAGCTTCCTAGTTTGTCCTCTGGGTTAGTGAAAAGTTTCCATCTTTCTGTTCTGTTCTGTATGTTTGTCCACTGTCTTACCTGTGGCTGTGTGTGCGTAAAGGAGTAGACTCAGGCCTGAGACTGGTGGTCTGTGTGAGAGTGCGCGGGGCCCCTCGTCGCTTTTATATGCTGGCGCCCAGAGAGAGGGGATTATAGACACAGAAACAAACTCGCTGAGCTCACAGCCCCCACAGAATAGAAATACCCCCATCATCAAAGAGAGAGAGACAGGCAGAAAGAGAGACAGAGCATATGGTTGAAATAATATGAGGAAGAAAATATGACAAACTCAGATATATCAACATATGGTCGACCTCAGATGACTTAACCGCATCTGGAGTTATAATCAGGATCGACTTTTGTTTTAGCCAAATGCTAAAACAAGCAAATTTTTAGAATTGTGAATTTCAAATGAAATCAAATACATTTTTGTGTTAAATTTTTTTTCTTGTCGTCAGTGATCTGCTACATTTTGATAGGTTAACAAAAGACAAAGTAACCTTATAAAAGCTTGCTCATTGTATGAACTCGTGCACTGAGTGAAAGAAATGACAGTCCAGCTGGAGTAATGTGAGATAATGCACTTTTCTACGCCCTTACAGTTTCAGTGTAATGACAGCCAAGCTGACCAGGTTCACATTAATGAGCCTATTGCAAAATCATTCCCTCCTGTTCCCTTCAGTGCTATAAAAAAAGAGGCGCTGGGAAAAACAATAACAGGAAAAACAATAAGCTGTGAGAAGCAATAACGGTCCAGTGCCTGCACCTCAGGGTGAGCAAAGAGGTTCAAGGTTTGCATGGACAATAATCTGATTCTGTCTCTGTTCATCTCAGTAGGAGAAGACTTTTATATCAAAGCTTTGCCTTTTTTCCCTGTATGGGTCAGTAAAATATTACAGTGAGTGTTAGCTGGAAAATGTAAAAAGTGTTTGAGATGTTTATTTCAAAGCACTCACAAGAGAACAAGCAAAACAGTCGTAGTTGTAGCATTCGAGGTCGCGTGTTGTGCTTCATCAAGGCTTCAGATGACGACAGGAGGGAAATATGAGGTGCAGCTGAGTGCTACATGAGATTGTGAGCATTCAGGTAAAACCATTCATGTCTTCAATTCAATGTTCAGACTTATTAATTTTGAAACTTGAATTTGCTCAAATCATTGTGCTCAATTAAGCATCATTGAAAGGTCAGTGGAGGAAGTGATGCAGGAGTGAATCAGACCCAGTGAAGTGGCTGAGGACTGCAGAGAGTCTCTTGAAGGAGAAAAACAAGGGAAGCAGGAAACAGCACAATAATACACATGAAAATGGATTTAGCAAAGCCGTGGAGGGTCAGCACTTTTACCTCTTTGCTGTTAGCTGGTTCTGGGTTTAAACTGATTGGGGTATTGCTTGTAGGTGTCTTCCCACACTCCAAAGACATGTCGGAGACAGATGGACAGAAAACAATTTCTATAAGCAAAAGTGAAAATAAATGATAGGTCTGGGTGGTGCAGTGGTTAGCAATGTCACCTGAACCAGCCGGAGTCTTTCTGTGTGACGTTTGCATGTTCTCGCTGCACCTTTATAGGTTCTCTCTGGGTGCTACAGGTTCCTCCTAGAGTCTAAAGACATGCATGTTACATTAACTGGCGATTATATTTCACTATAGGTGTGACTGTGAGTGTTATCTGTGTCTCTGAGTTGCTCCTGTGATGGACTGGTGACCTGTCTTTACCTCGCCTTCCTCCCGATCACAGCTGGGAACACATTTAATCTAACCACCTGTTATGCGTCTGTTCCTTAAGCTAAAGATGCAGATTCATTTGTTTTGTTTCTGTTCTGGTTAGAGAAAGCTTTAATGTTTTCTGAACAAAGTTGTACACTCTGTTGTATGATATTTCTTTTGTTAACTTCCTGCATAAAATACCCTTCATAACCTAGATCAAGATTCTTCAAGAATCTTTATTTTATTATATTTAAACCCATAAGATGGTTCATGTAATCCAATAGTCCAATGCATTGTTTTTGTAAATAGATAAACTATTTCCAGCTGTTCTGAAATTATTTGAAAATTTTGTTCTGATGACCAGTTTTTCTTTTAGCATAATAAACTTATTTTAGATAACACAGTGTGCTGTTGGAACACAGAAGTGATGACTGCTGAAAATATACCTGTGTATGTTTCATTAAATTTAAGTTACAAGCTATGATTATTGATTCCATTAATTATTATTTACAAACCTTCTGAATAGTGACATATTATAATAGATGAAAACAAACTGACTTCTTTCAAAAACAGAGCCATGTCCAACTGGCTGTAAACATGTAAGCAGTTGTGTATATAATAAAATTCCCGTTACATTTTAAAGCAGGAAATTAATGCATTTTTCAGCATAAATCTCTTTGTAACAACCTAACACAACTTCAAATACTATGCAGAATTATGGAAGAGGCAGTCTTTATACAATATAAAGTCAGATCACATATGCAAGGCATGTGTACTAACATGTTTTAGTAGATCTGGCATCGAATAATGAAATAGCCAACAAAACTGTGACATTTTGCATGTGCTTTGATAAAAGATCCTCTTCAAAGAGCCCATTGATTGATATGTGGAGCACAGTGGATGCACCTCCACAAATGTGAAATACTCTGAATAATGGCTGAATACTGGTTTGATTGATTTTTCTTACTTGGGGAAAAATATGCTAGATTAGCTTTGCCTTTAATGACATTGTATGCTTTACTTTTCATACATAGGCTTGTTTTTATATCCCGTGTTTAACAAAGACAGCCCATTTTGCTAAATGACTCAAATCCAGTTTCATCCCGTTCACCGGGAGCTTTTACAACAATTTCTACAATGACTGAAAAACCATCTACTGAACCCTCTATGTGTCTATTTTTCACCATATAATTTGTGAAGCTGACATTTACAGCACAGCACTAAAAAACTTCTCATATGTGTATCAGTGAAATGAAAGTTTAGTTAATTATAGTTGTGAGTCAACTTAGTTTGTCTAGTTATTTCTATAATTTCACTATTGCCAAATATACCTCATAGGTCTTTACAGTGTGTACAGCAGACAACACCATCAGTCCTTGTTGCCTAAAACATGAAACCTAAACATATTTGTGTTTCATATATATGTATGTATATATATATATATATATGTATGTATGTATACATATATATATATATGTATGTATGTATACATATATATATATATAATATGTATTAGAAGAGAAAAGACGGTGGAGGCAATGCCACGTATGGCTGCTAGTTGAAGTGGGCCGCTGGTGTTTATTGACGTTGACAGAAGTAGTAGGATGAATTCTGAAGTGTACAGAGCTGATCAGACAGTGCAAATTGATATTGACAAGTGCAAGATTGTCACTTGATCTCAGCCCAATAAAACATGCTTTTCAGTCACTGAAGACAAAACTGAAGGCAGAGAAGCCCACATCACAGCAGCAACTGAGGGCAGCTGTGGCCTGGCAGAGCATCTCACTGGAGGACACGCAAAATTTCGTGATCTAGATGGGTTTTAAATGTCAGGTAGTCGCTGACTGCCAGTCCCAGTATTAAAAAGAATAACTACATTTAAAATATTTTTGTCCAATTAGTTTTGAGCCTCTGAAAATACGACTATTAAATATTTAATGTGATACTTTTGTAAAACCCCTTCTGCTAACAGTAACAAGTATCAGATTTCATGGGGTTTTTTCCCCAAAGATCTGCTTAATGCTTTCTCCCTCCGACACCCAAATGAAACCTCTGTCCAGCCTCATTCATGTCTTTCATGTAAAACAGCAGATAGAAGCACTTTGTCCAAGACAAGTTTCTTCTGGACAAATCCACACAGTGTGAGTACATTTTTTTAGAGCACAGCAGGATAAAAGCTGGGAGTCGTGACTTAGCCACTTAGCCACTGCCTTTTCATGTGTGTGTTTTGTGTGTGTTTGCCTGTGTGATGTTAAACATGTTAAGGAGAATGTGAGGCTCTGTTGATGAAATGTCACGCAACAAGGGGCTGACCGAAGGAGGTTTAAAACAACTGAAGGGTCAAAATGATCTTCCAAAGGCTCGCAGTGATGTCAAAACCACTTTCCTTGTATTTTTTCACAACTTTTACGCTTTCTTTTATAGAATCTATATAACATGCATTATTAATTAATAGTTATCAATAACGTATTGACTTTAATTATTCGGTCCCAATTTCCTCCACTTTTGGAAGCCACCATTTAAACAGACTCCCCGGATGACTCTCCAAATCCTCCTCATTCTCTGCCTATAGCCCCGGCCATTGTTGCTCTATACGATGGCACTGCTGACCTATACGAATAGACTAAAAACAGCCACGCATTCATCGCCCGCATCTCTGTGACTGCGCTCTATATGATCTGCTGAGTCGACAGGCCCCATAGGGTTACAAAGAGAGAGAGAGAGAGAAAGAGAGAGGGAGGTAAGGGGGTGGGCGTGTGGGGGACATGGAACGCGAGCAATGAGCCCGTGCGTAAATTCGCAGTTGCGCGTGCACAAACCGTTTTTACGCACGACGCCAGGAGCGATCATTTTCTCACCTGCGGCAATTTTCCCACACTTACCGGAAGTTTTCCTCAAGCTACCTTCAAAATAAATGTTATGGGGCGCCACATATTAGGCGTCGATATGATAAATATACAAAATACACTCAATATTTGCGAAGTGATTATTTTATTTATTTTCTATAAGCAAAATTTACTAATCTCCGAACTTAAAGCTGATGACTTCAGAATGCTTGCTGCTCATGCTGTGAAAGTGATTCAGCAAGTTGTAAATTTGTTTGAATCAGAAGAAACAAGCAGGAATAAAAACAACACTAACTTGAGGACTTAAAAATGTAATTGAAAATGTCGGCAAGCTAGCTTCTCTGTGACAAGCTGATAGAAAATAATAATAATTATATATATATATATATATATATATATATATATATAAATAAAAGAGTATAAAGAGCTAGTGTTGTACTTTAATTTTGAAGAATTTAGCCGGAAGACATCGGTCATGTTCCTGTCCTACTTCAAACACTCACCGCTTTCACGTCATTGGTAAAGAAGGGCGGCACGCGCACACTAACGAGCATGAGC